TCACCAAAAAGACCTAGCAGGCCTGCCTTAAGCACAACTGGTGGTAGGTTGTTGCCCTGATGTTGTTTCCCATCGCAAAAGGGGATTTTGAAAATGGCAACGCATTTAAAGGGAGAAGAAATGTCTGAGCTTTTATTATTTTTACATTGCAAACTTCTATCTGCCATGTACATCTGGTGAGTGTGATAAAACGGTAACCAAACAATGTCTGCCACCACCTCCAAAGCTCACCACAACACATGACGTGTAATATCTACGAAAGCCAACATGTAAAATGTCAAGTTGTGGAAACTGCCAGATGTGGCCAAAACAAAGTCTGGCAGCAAACCAGAACCAGCACATTTACATTTTCATACAGATCAAACAAACAGATTTAACACAAAGCGATCAAGCCTTTGCTGCAGCTGCACCAACACCGCTTGGGTTCTCTGTTGACACTTTAATGATATGAAAAAAAAGTGCTGAATTATTCTCACATTGTTCCCACACCACCATCAGTCTCATTTTTTTAAAAAAAAAAACATTCTCCGAGGCCCATTTATGAGGCTGAAACCGTCGAGCACCAGGCTTAATAACACCGCGGTAAACAGCAGCTTGGCCAGCAGCGTGTTCTCTTCCATCAATCACTCCCAGCTCAACTGATAGGCCTCCAGTGCTGCTGGTCCACATCCACACACACGGCGACGGTGCCAGCACCATTACCCACCAAAACAATGACCCCCCTTGTTCGCTAACAGTCGCCCATTGGAGCTGATTAAACTTTTAAATGTCATTTAATAGAAGCGTAATCTTGCTCCAGCGCGTCTGTCGGCAGCTCGAGGGGGGTTAAAAGGATACCTGGTCACCCTCCTGGTGTGTCACGCTGCCCGCTGAATTCCTCAGGTGCTTAGTCATCGCCCTCAGCGTGGGCTGTGCTGATGAGAGCGAATGTGACCGGGGCTTTAAGAGGACACGAAAGGCGCAGCACCTCTGAACCTGCTGCCTCTTTGTTTGACCTCCCTCCTGAAGCTTCTCAAGGTGCTCGTGTTATATGGAGAAAGGTAGATGCTCATTTGAAGGCCCATTTTTAGTTCAACGCAGTGTCAGTGACCGAACAATGGCCGCACTGTTTGTGGGCTCTGTTTGTTTGGAGACCTTTAGCTGGGACTCAGCATTTGTCCCATACCAGTGCTGGATTAGAAGTATTTTTAAGTAACCTCACATTCTTAGGAAATTCCAGCAGTCTGCCTTCTTCGTCACTCTGGAGCCGTGTCACATTTTCTCAGCACGCTGTCCGGAGTTAGCTGCTAATTTGACGTGCTTGACTGTGGCCCAGCAGTGCAGCTGAGTAGCAGGGTCACCTCTTGTTGTAAATTGCCAAAAACCCAGATTTATTCCAGACCCTCTCTGATGTGCTGCTTTGCTGAATGGTGACCGGATCTCATTAAGCTGTTCCCAGAAAGTGGAGTTTGGGCTGCTTGTACGACCTGCCCTGACACCAGATGTTCTCGTGACCTTAAAATGATCGAAATTCACCGGCCAGCGCATCTTAAATCACACTTAAATCGCCTCCCTGCCATCCCTCACATGAAAATTCTAGCAGAGATGAAAAAGGATAATGTGTTTGCGGTGGGATTTGCACAATACATGCTGTGTAGCCTCTATTGCTGTGTGTTGATCATTTTCCTCTGCGGGTTTTATTTTTATTCAGTAACTATCAACACCTCAGTGATTATTTTACACCATTTTATGTAAAAATATACAGATTTTCCAGGAAGACACACACGTTGACCCAGTTACTGGTCCAGAGAACGGTGAAGAAATGACTGCATGTGCACACATGTTTGCAGGTTTGCGCATCAGTTTGCAAGCGCATATTTAAAAAGCAAAGGATCGCGAGTGCATGCGCGGATGTGCATTCATTGCATTGTGCGGCTGCGTGCGTGTTCTTTGAAGCAATGTGTGTCTACGAGGAGGAGCATGATTGACAACGAAAGAGCGGGTGCCTCGCCGTGCCTGTGGTCGAGGCAGGCTGTGGGAGATGGAGGGTGTTAAGTCGTCAGTATGAGGCATATGTCAGAGATCAGTGCTGGACTGTGGAGATCACTGAGATGAGAGGGGAGGAAGGGCGCCAGGGGTTGAGAGAGACACAGATTACTGGGGGCTTGGTGCCTCGACCACAGGCAGAACGGCTGCTTGTTACAGACAAACACACACGTTCACATCTCTCTGACCAGCAGTGGATATCCAGAGGTCCAGGCCTCCAGAGGCTGCGTGCAAAGCCCTGCGTTAATAAGATTGTCTCCATCTCGGGGAGCACTCCTTTGTCTCCAGAATAATGACAGCAGGAGTAAGAGCCTGGCTCTTGAACCTCTTCAAGCTCTTAAGTGTCAGCAACTGAAGGAAAACAGAGTGGTGGGATTACAGACGGCCTAGTAGATGTGCCGTGACAACGTTCTGCACAAGTCTCCAGAATATTGTTCTAAGACACTCATGTCAAGAAAAGGATTCAGCCTATTTTATAAAACACCCCATCAAGTTATCTCTTAGCTCAAAAAATTGTTCTTAAAATAAGCTTCTGCTCTTAATCTGTGTTTTATGCTTGTTTTTATACAGCTCAGGGGCCCTTCAGCAACTCACAGGAACAATCCCAGTCAGCTCCAGCGATCGGTCACGTGACCCTGAGTGTTGATCTGCTGAGCGGAGATGGTGTGAGGTGTTCACCTTTAATAACATTAACTTGTGAAAATCAAAAATGATCTTTAGTTACCTCCTAGACAGTGGCAGGTTGAACCTTTAAAGGTACTTATGTGATCTCACAGATGTTTGCTGTCTGTGCTTGTACTGTAATGGTAAAACACTGAATGATAATCTGGGGGGAAATCATTGTAGAAATCCAATATTTTCACAGACTGCAGCGAGTTTTTCCAGTTATATTACTACAAACATGACTTCAGATGTCGCCTCACCGGTAGTCTCCTGCCATCGACTACAGCAGCACACTTACAGGAGCATTGCAGTAATTAAATGGTAATACGTAAATGGTACATGGTCTGCACTTATAAAGCGCTTTTCTACCTTTGCGGCACTCAAAGCACTTTACAATGTTTCTCATTCACCCATTCACACACACATTCATACACCAATGGCGACAGAGCTGCCATGCAAGGTGCTGCCTGCCATTGGGAGCAACTTCGGGTTCAGTGTCTTGGACACTTTGACTGTGGAGGGGTCGGTGATCGAACCACCAACCTTACGGTCAGAGGACAACCGCTCTACCACCTGAGCCACAGCCGTCCATTCAGCAGCACAACAGGCTGTAAACACAGCACTTATATTATCACTTTTATTAATTGGCTTTAGTAGGTGTACAAGCAACCAGTTAGCAGGCTCAGAGCTTTTGGAACACTTAACCAATTAAAGTTCAACATTCGCTCTCTGCTTTGGTCTCCACCAGCATACTTTGGCTTCTTATATGTTCATAAAGCAGCTGCTCAGTGCGTTTGTCTGCTGTTTGATGCTAGACAGGTAATTCAGGTAGTTTTATGGGAGCGTTTTAGAAACACGGCTGAGAAAAACAATGAGACTGACTCAAAATATTAAAGTTACAGGCATTAAAACCGAAACCAAGAGCTGAAAAAAACACCAAAATACTCCATAGAACTGAAGCATAACGCAGGCCGGTGATAGTTCATCTCAGGCTCATCACAAAGAGAAACAACCTTTCACAATATGCAAAGTCTTTCAATCCACTGTGTATGTCAAAATATTGGTTAATGCAGCTTTAATGTACATCCAGCAAAGCAGAAACGAGAGGAGCCATGTTTGTCGTTGTGCTTTGAGAAACTGAGGTCACCACTCGGACACAGCGAGCTGCTCCATAAATGATGAACTGAGTTAATAGATTCATGAACACTCTATCTGGGTTCAGATCTTCCATCATCGTGCAACTGATTTTCTATCAGTGAAGCAGCTGTATTATAGTTTGTTAATGCCGCTATGCAGAGTCCTTGCTATATTACTGGACGTGTTATTATTCATGCTGTAAAATCAATGCTAAAAGAAAGCTTAATAAAGCGGCTTTAATCCTCGGATCCGATAGCACGGTCTGTGTGTGCAGAATGGATGAATATAACTCTGGACTCCCTCAACAACTGTCTAACTGACCAAGCCAGAAAAAAATCCTGCTGCTCTTCGGCGTTAGTGTCTGACTCCGTGAACATGAAGCGGCGCTGACAAAGCTCGTGCCTGCTCAGCAAAACCCTCAGATATATACTAATAACAAATATGCAATGTGCCTGCTTTTTATTCCAGTACCTATCCCCCCTGTTGCACATAATACACCAGCGTCGTGCTCCTCATAAAGGTGATTCCTATCTCTGCTGCTCACTGTGTGACATTATTGGCCGCGCATGTTTGTTTCGTCGAAAGAAAGAGCGAGTATGCGGAGTAGGTAGCGATAAGAATAGCTGTTTTATTGTGTGCCACTGCCTTGGCCCCTAATGCTGAATGTGTTATCTGAGGGTGCAGCATGCCACACTAAGCTATGTGCATGTGACGCATGGCTGAGCAGCATTCCTCCTCCTGAGTGCATCGCAGGGCAGAGATAGTAGGAAGGCAAAGCAGCCTGACTGCCAACAAAGAGGGAGAGAGGAGCGAGAGCAGGAGAGAGGAGAGATGAAGGGAGAGAGCAATACCGGGAACATGTAGTTAAGTGGAATGAAGTACCCTTTGTTGCAGATAAGATCATTCTGCTTCCCTGGCCGGCGTCACTAAAGCGATTTGAGCACAACAAATGTAGCTGATTATGCCGTTGGCAGACCACAAAATCCCTCACTGACATGCAGATAAACATTGGTCCAAGTAATAAAAGACTGGAGGTTTTCCCTCCTTCACACATTCATGGTTTTTACTTTTATTTTTTTTTTTAAATAAGGCAGGGTCATGTGCTCTCAGACAGAATGGTATCCTGGCATTATGGGAAAGAACGTCCACACCGGGGAATGGTGTGGAATCGGCGGCTAAATGAGGGGTCTGTGGCCTCCATGGTCAGACCACTTCCAGTAAGGTTCGTATGTCCCTGGTCCTGGGGTCTTCTGTGAAAAACACACAAGCAAGCAGCTAGTTTTCATTTTAAACAGAGGCCCCAAGAGATGTCATTTTCTTCCAAATTTACAATCACATTCCAGAAAATGTTCTGAAACTATTCGATGTCTATTCTCTGTGGTCTGTGTTCTAGTCTGTGAGGTATCTTTCGTTGCTGCATTATGCTATATAATCGTGCGATGTTCCATTTTTCTTGCAGGAATTAATCAAATCATAACTAATCTCTTTTAAATTAGATGCATTTCCATCAAAACCAATGAAAAGATAATTATTGAATCTAATATAAAAAAAAATGCTTCTAATACATTTTTACTTGCTCATAAAGAATTTTTAAAACACCCTAATGCAGCTAAGCTCATATAGAACCGCAAAAAGTATAAATCTATAGCAACAATGCGAATGAGTGGACTCACTGAGTTCACACTGTGGAGCCGAGGTAGTGTGGATTTGAAGCAGGAGGTGATGGCTTTAGCTGGTCTGGGCTGTGGGTTGTAGCAGCATGGAGCAGGTCCTTCTTTCTGAGGTGGAAAGAAATTGTAGCCGTCATTGATTTGTGTATTGAGCTGTGTGATCAGTCCCTAATATGCTGCAGACCAGAACTAGCATGTATTCACTGGCATTGAGTCGTTCACTGAGCTGTGTTGTGTAAAGTAAGGTGGCTATGGGGTGGCCACAGCTACGTCACGCTACAATCTGGCCCTCACAACCAATAGTAATGCCTGGTAGAGGGCTACACACATAGTTCCATGATACATCCATGGAAGGCAGTTGTGTAAACTCTGCGGTATCACGTGACTAACACAAAACTTGTAGCACCGCGGTCAAGCCACTATGCCAAAATCTGCAGTGTCGGGGGCTGACTGGTTGGTTTTTTGTGCACCAATCGGCTCCACATTAAAACCACTGACAGGTAAAGTGAAGATGATTCGTCACTTCATGACAATGTTCTGCTGGAAAACCTTGGGTCCTGGCGTCCATGTGGATGTTACCTTGACACGTGTCACCCATCTAAACATTCCTACAGACCAAACACACCCACCCATATCAGTGACACTCCCAGACGCCCGTGGCCTCCTGCAGCAAAAACTGCTCAGGAACACCTCAAGGAATGCGAAAAGGAACTCAAAGCCTTGAACTGGCCTTTGAACTCCCCAGATCCCAACCCAATTGAGCATCTGAAGGATGAGTCAGAGCAACCCTGATCCACAGAGGATCCGAAAGATCTGCTGCCGGCGTCCACAGGACTCCCCCAGAGGTCCCGTGTCCATGGCCTGTGATGGCAGGAGGTGGCTTTACGTAATATTAAACAGGCCGTTTCAATGTTGTGGCTAATTGGTGTAACTAGACCAAAGCTATAAATGGTTTGTTGCCCACATGGTGAGAATAATTAATTATTCATTGAATGATATTTTTAAGAATATTTTGTCTATTTTCCTTCAACATTGTTATTTTAAATATGTCACTTAGCATGTTGTTTGTCCTAAAACCCAACAACCCAGAAGCATCTCTACAACCGAAGCAGACACAATCAGCTACAGTCTTGATAGTAAAGTTTCTTCTTCTGTGTTCACAACAGTCCCGGACACAAGAACCAGCTAAATACAAGCAGGACTCCAGACTTTACTCAGCTAACACCATGTCGGTGTAAATTATTTAAACCCTTCTGAAGAACAGTTCCTGTTCTCTCAGAAAACATGGAGCTTAATTTTTTAGAAATTGGAATAGGATTGTCGAGGCATCCAAACAAAACTAGCTTACAGTTACCCACATAGTGTTCCTTCAGTCAACACTCCAGGCCCGACGGTGTGAACATGCTCTCAGGTTAGTGTTACTGTAAATTCACCTACTGTACATCATGACCTCGAACATTTTTGAAGCCAAATGAGGGATTAAATCTTTGACCCTTGGACATACTCTCGTGAAAACCTATTGTTGTACCACGCTGATACTCCCGTCATCTGAAGGATGCACCAACAATGTACACCGGATCTATTTTGGGCTCTCATATTCCTGGTTTTAAGACCTATGATATATGATTTCACTCATGGCTTTATAACCTTTGCCAACAGATCTGTGGTTTGGGCATGTTTAGGGTTTGTCTCCGTCAAGTTGGTCCGTCTCTCTCCCTCTCTCCTTCTCCTTGCCTTTCACTTCTCCTTTCCTCTTACCCACTAACACACATACTGGTCATCACCAGCGGCGTGCCATGCAGAAATAGCATCGCCCCTCCTCCACCCTCCTCCCCAGACATAAAACTGTTGCCCTGTCCCTGAACACAGGACCAGCCTTTCATTTTCAGTCACTGATTCTGACAGAGAGGGACAGGATGGTGTCCTTTCCTCTCTTCTTTGCAGGGAAGGCTACTACCATTACATGCTATTTGATCCCAGTTGCCAGTTCACTTGATCCGCGGCAACTGGCCTGGCGGACCCCGCTCGCCTGCGTGATGCTCCCAGAGGTGCTAAATGCAGGTGCATTACATGGGAGTCGGCGGACAGCAGCGAAACTTGTGTGCATGTGTGTTTGAGCCAAAGCACCTGGCCTACTTTCCTAGTGTGGCACTGCATGTTAGAAACGTCCTCCTGGGTGCTGAAGGTAACCGGCATATGCTGGGAATGACAGTAAACTTTTACACTTTGCCCTGGTTTTAATTGGTGTGAAGAGGATCTTGCTGTTCGGTTCTCCCTTAAGTGAAGTGGAAACCTTGATGACATTAGGTTAAATTAATTTGTTGGGACTTTCTTGAGTTGAGTAAACGAGAGGCTGTTTGCCTACATAAACATAAAAAATACATTAACTCCAAAGGGCTTTTTTTCCCCCCCTGTAAACAAAAAGATGCTACAGCCTCATTGCAGCTCTGTGAGGCTGTGTTCAGACACAAAGGAGCGTTGAGTCCCAATGACAAAGCTAATATGCTGATCAGGGGTGCGACGGATCACAAAACCCTCAGTTCAGATCGTATTTTGGCTTCCAAGGGACAGATCAGATGAGGCAGAGGTATTTTTTCAGTGCTGTTTGTCTACTTGTTTGTCCGTTTGTTTCTCTTTCAGCAGGACTGGTGAAACTCAGAAACTTGGTGATCAGGTGGAGCATTGCCAATAAAGTTATGATGTAGATCTGGATCACTTTCTTTCAAATCTCAAGATGGGTCATTGGCCTTAGTGGCCCTGCTGGTTACTTTAAAAAGCAAGAGTGAAACTGTGTTTCACATTACGATGGGTAAACTTTGCAACTGAGTCGTTATTTACATGCATGCCACACTAAAGGTAGACTCTCTGCAGATCACAGATCAACTACAATCAGTTACACCACTAATGCTGATGGCTGCCACATGTAACATTTAGCATGTTCTTCAGTTTACTTTAGTGTGTTAGCATGCTAATATTGCTAATTAGCATGAAGTAGTGAAAGAAGTGAGTTTCAAAGTAGGTGGGGTTGCTGATTCTGGAAATGTTTCCCTCATTCTGTGTTTCCTATTCAGTTTTTTCTTCAAACAGTCTCCTTAGTAGGCCTTAATTCTGAGCATCCCTGAAACACCAGAGAGGTGAAGCAGCATCATTTTTCTGCCGTCTCAACATCCTCATCGCCATCTTCAATTTAAAATTCTCCATATAGGCTAACATAACAAAACTATCAGTGTTCTATTTCCTGCGTGCTCATAGAATTGACGTTACATTCAAGAACTACTATTTGTGTTTGTTTTGGCGTACTTTGAATCCCATCGACGCTATTGGACCCTACATGGCAATGGAAAGAGAAAAGGCTGAAAGGGCCAATTAGGGATCTTTTTTGAAAATGTTCATATCCGCTTGTGCCTTCCTTCACTTCCTGCAGTAGAAAACCACCTCATGTCAATGCAATAAAGTCCATCTTGGGACTCATAATTAACTCCTCCCATGATAATTTATCTGCACAAATGCTGCCTTTTAGTTTAGTTTAGTTTATTATTATTATTACTACAACATAAAAATGTAGAAAACATAACCATTTGGACTGAAATGGAAAAGTTTCAATCTGATTATAGTCTCAGATGTTCTCTAGCTATGAGACATGTCAAACTAAATGTGATTTTTACTTCCAGAATAAGTGTCCCAAAACAGCTTCTCGCACTTTAGAGCCGGATTTAAATCTTTGTCACTACATGAAAAGTAAAAAGGGAAGTAATTACAGTTCATCCTGAGGGGAACATAGACGTCTGAATTAAATTTCACAGCAGTCCATCCAATAATTGTCGACATATTTCTCAAATGTTTTCTCAACCTCATTGTAGCACCAGAGGAAAAGTCAAGAGATTACCAAAGACGTGACGATTCCTCCTCTGGGCATCCCAAATGTCTGTAGATTTCATGGCAATCCATCCAATAACTGTTAAAATATTTCAGTCTAAAGTGGTGGACGGATCAAGTGACCGACGCATTCAACGCAGCACATTAAAACTAGCAGGCAGCAGGTGTTTAGATCAGCAAGTTTTCATGCTGTAGTTACAGGGCAAAATCATTTCTGTGTTACAGCAACAGAGAGTAGGATTCATACGAACACGTCAGGGATTATGACTTTAATTCAAACAGGCTTGAATCTCAAGGGAGGATTTGTTCCTTCTGAGCAGCACGTGCAGTCGATATTGCAAAAAAGCACAACATGTAAATCTAGGACACGCAGTCGCCCCAGGAAGGGGAAATTAAGTCAAATCAGGAAAAAGGGGGGGGGATATGTATTGTTTTTGTTCCCAAACATCTCCAGCTCACTGGAGGTTTGTTTTTGAAAGTGTGGAAATCGTTTTATTCTGGGCAGTGAGTCAAGACTCAGAGGAATCTAAAATTCTTGTCTCCCGTCTCACATATTTCCGGCCAAACCATTAAGACACCTCAACTTTGATCCGCTAATGTCTGCCACCTCCGTCGGGTCAGCCGTCGGGGTGGTCTGCGGTTTCGGTTAACTTCGCTGCAGGATTGGTGTAGCTGCTTAACCTTTGACAAATAAAACGTGTCTTAGAGTCGCTGTGACACCACTAACAGCAGAAAACTGCTCCCAACTCTGCAGTAATAACACCCTCGGGATTTCTTAGCGCCTTTCCTTCTCTGTCAACACTCAGCACCTGCCAGCGCAGCTCAAATATCCATCAGCTACCAGCACGGACACGCGGCTAAGGCTGCAACACTCTGCAATACGAACTAAAGCTGACTGGTCAGCCAGCGCAGTGCCATAACGGGCCTTCAAATGGGGCAAATGATACAATCAGACAGCCTGTGGGATCAGTTTTCTTTGACCCTTGTGGTTGTCATAACCGGCTCTTGTACGGCTCATACCAGATACACGTTAGGTCATGGCTTGTAACCAAAACCTATTGAAAGTATATTGTAATGAAGCCTTTTTGTGGGCAATGGAAACACTGAATGGTCCTAATAACTGCTCTCTGTGACCAGATACTTACAGGCGGAAAGCTGATCCGCTGCACAGTCGACCGAAACATCACATGCCTGCAAGAAGAGGAGAGAAGAGAGGGGAGGGGGGTTGGCTGTCAAAAAAAAAGACAGAGAAGAACAATGAGTGGAAGAGTGAGAGAAGAAAAGAATAGGGCCATGCATGATCAGAGGGAGAGAAAATGAGAGAGCAGGTTGGTGATTGCTCCTCCATCTTTGAGCTGCGAGGAGATGAGAGAAGGAAGGAGACGTCGGATGAGGAGGAAGGATTCGGCGATCAAGGGATGATTCATGGCTTGTCTGCTCCGCTGTGATCTGAGAGTTAAAGAGAGGCTGTTTGTCGAGTGCTTACTTGCAGGGAATCTTCTCCACTGGTTTCGCTGTCACATTGTAGTCACACGGTGAAGTGTTTATGTGCTGGCGCAGGGAATACAAATAAAGAAGCGTTAAAAACATATGTGACAGTGTTTTTCGGTTGATGCGCTACATTGCCAACAACTTATTGAACGAGTTGAGCTTCCAGGAGTTTGCTGCTGGTGCATTCTGAAGATCATCTACTGCACTTTAAGAGAAGCACTGACAATAATTAGATGCCACATCCACATATGATGTCAAAGCAGCTAATAAATACTGCTGAAATAAATTACACCCTCAGGCGCAGAAATATAAAAACAGAAGCAGTGTGGACATCTATGATTGATTGAAAAGAACAGTTTGTGCTTATAACTTCAGATTTAACGCTGATGACAAACTTTCTGCAAACTGCAACCATTTGTGGACCAAGCAATGACTCAAACATTAAATACAAAAGGAATACATTATTTAGGTTTTCTCTGAACCGAGCTGGAAAGAAATGAATTGAGTTCTTCTCCAATCTCAGCTGATCAAAGCCCTCTAATAAAAAATAAATAAATAATGCCAAATAAAATAATAACAATAATGAATGTTGAGTTTGTTGTCTTATACAGCAAGGTTTGTTGATTCTGCATAGGACAAGAATATTGAACATTTTGGGAAATACACTTATTTGCTTCCTCTCCAAGAGTTAGATGAAAGCTGAATTACTGTCATGTCTGCACATGAAGCACAGAATTGGAAGAGGGAAGTCATTAGCCTAGCTTAGCATAAAGACTTTGGGTGACAGCTCATCTGGCACTGGCTCAAGTTCAACAACACTTCTCCATACTGTAACAGAAATGTAAATACTGATGTTTGTGTTTTTGGTTAAGATTAGGTTGTACAACTATTTGTTCTTATACAGCACATGACTAGAGCTTCCCAAAATCTTGCCGTCACTGCGAGCTTGTCATGTTCGTCTACAGGGACCGAAGCTACGACCTACTGCCCAAATGTAGCAACCAACAACAGACACTGCACAGAAGCACTGTGTGGATGGATCATGGATTGTATAAAATGATGGACAAATCTTTCATGATATGACTCATATTCATTTCCTGAACAACAGACTTATAGTGCAGTGTTGTGATTCCGGCCATTGCTGTCTTGGCAGCGCGTGGATCCTTCAACTTCCGGTTAATTCAAAAATGAGCAAAGAGGTGGCGCATGAGTGGAGCTGAGGCAGGTCATGCAAATGTCTCTAAGCTGTGAGATCACACATGTCACTCACAGCAGCCATGCTGGTAATTATGCAAAACTTCAAGGCAAAATGCAGTTTAAACAGATCAGATATATAAGGATTCACCCCCTATATGTTTTTGTCATTAATGGAGAAATAAGCTACAGCAGGGCTGGGCAGTCCTGGTCCTCGAGGGCCACAATCCTGCATGTTTTAGATGTTTCCCCTCTTCCAGCACACCTGATTCAAATGATCAGGATCGTTATCAGGCTTCTGCAGAACTTGATGATGAGCTGATCATTTGAATCAGGTGTGTTGAAAGAGAGAAACATCTAAAACATGCAGGATTGTGGCCCTCGAGGACCAGGATTGCCTACCCCTGAGCTATAGAGACTAAAATCGCTTTTTTTTTTTTTTATCCAGGCTGTAAAAATGTTTATTTCTGCTGTAAAGTTGGGCGTTTCAACATGAGGATATACACAGATCAACTTACTTTTGGAACCAGCATCAAGTGGCCGTTCAAGGAACTGCAGTTTTGTTTTGTTTTGCCAAGAAATACTGCGAACAAGTAGGTCCTGGTGAAATCCCACTATAAAAGTTGTCACTTTCTGTTCAACTTCTACTTCAGAATGTCACTGATCAGACCTTGTGTTCACACAGAAATAGCCATAGCACCTAAGTTTGTACAGTTTGTGTACAATTTGAACAAGCAAAGTCGAGAGACACTGCAGTAAAAAGCCTGCATTAAAGCTTTTGATTGGTGTAGTTTCTACTTGTGAAAGAGTGAGTCAGTTGTTTTGCCCCATTTCTGTTTGTTCTAAGATAAGCTAATTATTTTGTGGCTCCAACTCCATAATTAAAAGCACTTTTGGGAGTTCTTTAGCAATGAACCACATTCAGAGGGTTTATTGCTTGTATATGTTGCTCAAAAAGTTGCTACCACCAACTGTCTATGACTAGAATCATGTGAAATCATGGGCATGTATCTTGTCCATGTATGTTCTTATGCATGTTTAAGACGTGTTCACACAACAGGGAGTCATTTGTAGCTACTTTCCAGTGCTACTCGTGGTCAAAATCCATAGTGTGCTTTAATAACTTGAGAGTGCGATCAAACTTCTTATCTAACGCTCAGAAAGAAAACAAATAAGTGTATTTCCCAAAGAGGTAAACTGTTCCTTCAACATGACTGAATTGGTAAAGATCATGTCTGAACGCCACCTTGTCCCTGATTCCCAGGGTGACAATGTCAGGTCGGGGGCAGTTTTTGAAAGAGTAGGACGCCTGGTTCATCAGGACCTCCTGCGTGGAGTCGATGTAGTCATACGCCCCAGGAAGCAGCAGATCGCCCTGACGCACACCCAGAGTCTGGGCTTTCCTGCCCACGCCTTTGAACCCATAAGTCTTTCTCACAGGATTCAGTTCAGCTTCCTCAATGAAGTCCCGGATGTGATAGACTCCGGGGTTGGGTGTATCCTGGAAGAGGGGAGAAGTTTAAGGAATCTTTGACCCACACCACTTAGCGTATCACTGAATTACCTAAATCACCTAAACCCCGAGCCTTAGTCAGGTGCTTTCTTTATTTCCTGTAATCCCTGCTATACTTTTCTCTCTTCTCTCCTTTACCCTCAGCCCAACTGATCAAAGCAGATAGCTGGCCTCCCTGAGCCTGGTTCTGCTGGAGGTTTCTCCTTGTTAAAAGTTAGTTTTTTTCTTCTAACTGCCACTAAAACACAGCCCAGAGGGAATCATTGGATTTGTTTGCTTTTTCTTTGGAGAACACGATTTCTTTAGCTTACCATACGAAGTGTCCTTAGGTGACTTGTGAAGTAGTTGGCTCCATATAGATAGAAATGAATCGAACTGAATTGAATTAGCCACGTTGCACTGAGCTCCCACAGGAAATCGTTGCCAGTCATCGGTTAATTATGCCATGTGCAGTTTACCAGTTAACCATGTGTCTGCTCTGGAAACTGTTGCCATCTGTCTCTCTGTTGCCACGGCTCGTTTTTTTCTTCTCTTAGAAGGAGAACATCTGACGCACATTAGGTACATGTATGCTAATTAGCCAGTGTTTGTGTATTGTAAAGCTTATATTGTTGGGTATCAAACGCTTAATATGAAAAATCTAATTCAGAGGCTCTGCTTGATTAACAACGTAGACGGAGAGCTGGGATCAACC